GTTTTAGCTCAAAATACCTTACAGATCATTTTTTTATAGCTTGTTAAAATTGCCACTTTTAGGGTATGAGCCAAAACGCACCGTTTTCATCTTTCCCTTTAAATGCAAATGAGCTGGTGCTCCCGGAGAAGAGGGCGGAGCTTCAAGAGCTCAAGCTCCAGCAATACTTGTGCTAGCCTTTGCAAATAAACACTCTGTACAACTCGCTGTGAACTCGTTTAGGGCGGTTCTATGTTAAAACGGCAGTGCCCCCCGTGGGTGGGGGCCTGTGGCTAACGTGATGTCACATTAGCACCAAGTCGGAAAACAGGTAGTTGGGAGACACTGCTTATGATTTATGGGGATTAAAAAAAAGGAGTGGGTGGATTTTTATCATTATAGGGTGGTTGTGTACACACACTGCCAACACACATTTATGTCCAAACACCTTGCAAAAGTGAATTTTGCATAATAGGTGCCCTTTAAAGCAAATTCTGTTTTCCTCGGTTGAACTTTTACATATTAGATAAGTTGAGTAACCTTTATTTCTACAGTGCTTTACAGCTTCACAGAAAAGAAAAAAAAACAGGAAAATAACAGTTGCAAAAATTCATCAGTTATAATGTTACAGTTACATCACTGTAATGATGAGATGGAGGCTTTATGATCTAATGATCTTATTACTACAGCCTTGATGTCTCTGTGTTGGACCTCCAGATGGGAATGAACATGTTTTTGGAGGAGCCGACAGCATCTTTTCCACCACATGACTTATACACTGCTGCAATCTGAGAACGATCCACAGAATGTTTCCCCAGATTCTGCACCTAATAGCAGTTCAACTGCATTCAGTAGACATACGCCGCGTCTCTTTAATATTCATCAAGAGTTCATTTGAGCAGATTGTTATTTGTTAACTACAACATGAGAGCTAGTGTGAATGTGAAGATGTTAATGTGAATATCGTCACTGGCTATAGGCATTAGCATGAGCTGGAGGCCGTAATGTGTATTTGTCTCTTTTATACAATATATTTTTAAAGTAAAGAGAAACAAAGTTATGGAAGCCCATTTCCAGCACATATTAAAATTATGACCTTTTTTTGCAATTGCGAGTTTACATCTTACAATTTTGAATTTATTTCCCAGAATTGCAATTTTAACTGTTATTTTATTATATTTATTTAATGCATGCATGCATGCAAGCTTCCAAATAAATCAAAGAAAACCTGAAACTGAAAAAATATATATATCTTCTTTTTTTTTTCTGAAATTGACTGATCATCACTGCATACTATGGGAGACTGGTGGTCTTGATGGGGACTTTTTGCTTTAACACTTGTGTTTTTGTGCTTTCTATCACAAATTTTGATATAATTTTCTTAAATGCATCTGCTACAAATTCAGGTTGAATAATGCAGTCATAACATGGTAACATTCACAGCGTATTAATGATAAGTTCCTTAGCAGATACAATATAGTTTTAGTTATAAAATAATGATTCATCGGTCCAAATGGACCCAAAATGTGCAAATACTATACAGATTTGGAATGCATTATGAGGGTTAAACTGCAGTTTTCTAAATGACTGTTGAACTGATAAAGCGTGGCTTTCTCCGCAGGTTAAAGCTCCAGCACAAGCCCAAGGCTTCCTGAGGTCTGCGTTTCCTCTGAGCTGTCCCAGGATGCTGCTGAGGAGCTGTGGGGCTGCCAGACCCCCTTCCACCGCTCCCTGCAGGAGGGCGTCCCATCTGAAGGAGCAGGCACTGCTGTGCGTGAGGTCAGGCAGAGAGAGCGCCGGGTCAGACGGCACCCGCAGCTCTCCTCCGGGAAGCTCCTGTTACTCGTCCCAGCGCAGCAGCCCCGCAGGCCTGTCAGTCAGCTGGTACGAGCCGGCGATAACCTCCGAAACCTCCCTATCCCGCCTCCGGCTGGAAGAGGAGGAGCCGGAGACCAATGTGGACACAGGTTGTGCTGTGAAGCCGCAGGCCGCTTTAGGAGCGTCTGCTCTGCTGACTCTGTCTAGAGACCTGACACACGGGCTGGATGAGGCTGACGAGAGCGTGAAGAGTGTCCTAGCAGAGACACAAGTAGATGAGTTCTTCATCTGACTCTTCATTCTTATGCAGTTGGAAAAGCAGGCAGCACACATTTACGTGAATGCATTTGGCAAAGCCGCTTACAGTGCATTCACATTGCATCAATTCAAGGATTCCCTGGGAATCAAACAGCAATACTGTCGCTTTCATACATGACCGTCCACTCACATCATTAATTACGCAATCTTAATAAATGATCAATTAATATAATTCCCTAATTGCATTTTAGGGGTTCAGAATAAAATGAAAATGCCTCTATTTTGCATTTTAATATAGCTTTTTCAATACAAATTCTATGATCAAACTAACAATTTCAGTGAATTAAGGATTTTGTAGCTTATTTCAGAATTACAATTGGTCCCCTTCAGCTTTAAGGGAGAATTTCATCCAAAAATGAAAATTTGCTTAACATATACTCTCTCTCTCAGGCCATCCGAGATGCAAATGAGTTTGATTCTTCATCAGATTTGGAGAAATGTGTCATTGCATCAGTGTCTCAGCCATGGATGCTCTGCAGTGAATGGGTGCCGTCAGAATGCGACTGGTCTGAGATTGTGAATAGTCTTTTAGTGACATTGGTATTGTCTGATGAGGACCGTTTAATCACAACACATTGAGAAATGAATGTTCTGTTCAAACAGGCTGGCTGTGTTCATACTCTTTAAAGTATTTCTCCTGCACACCTGCAGAAATAGTAGAAGTAATGCTAGTGCTGTATTCTGAACACACATCTTCTTACAGTGTAGCATGAGCCAAATGATTCATATGTTATACAGTACATTGTAAACAAGCACTGTGCAAAGGCAAATGAGTGTAGTGATGAAACTAATAAACCCTAATTATGCAGATTTATATGTTATTCCAGACACAACCAGTGGGCAACTGATGAAGAAAAACTGAAAAATCAGAAAAAAAAAATCAGATTGACATCAAAATTGATGTAAAAAAAAAAAAACAGGTCAAATATGCAAATCAGACTGAGGTCAAAAACTTGGCATGACGTTGATTTGATGTAAATTGAACATCAAATTTATTTCAGCGTGGGATTAACTTCCTATTTTTACTCAATTAACACTGAAACAAATTGCCTTTAAAATTGAATTTGAAATAATGTTACAGCATCTTGATCAAATCTTGACTAATATTTGATGTCAAATTGATATCAAGGTGCCCACTGAGAAAGCACTGTATTTGTCTCAGAACTGTTTATTGTATTTCCACTAAATTATTAGTACTAAAAATTTCAACTCTTGTCAATATTTTGACAATGTATTTTTATCAAATGTATTAAATACATAGTACTTTGTATGTACAGTTATTACTTGTAAATGAATGTCATATAGGTTGGTAATAAACTAATGTAATAATTATGTAGTAATATGAAGAAGGATGTTTGAAATAAATCAGTCCTCTGTCAATTTGGAGGATTTTTGTAAGGTAGCCTTCATTTAGTTTATTTTGAATGATTCATAAAATGTATCATTCACTTCTTTAATTACCCATAATCCTTTGCACACATTCCAATACATAGAAGAAGAAGAAAAAACTGAATGTTAGCACTGAACCAGAGTTCATTGAAATGTAGTTTTGGAGATGAAAACATTCATGTTTTTATTTGTTTTGAATCTTGAAGCCTCAGAAGCAGGGCTGTTTCTGAGCAGTTTGACGCTTTTCCCACGGCACCACACAGCTTATGTTGTCATTTAATAAGCATTGAAATAATTCACCAACTTCTGTACATGAGTGATTTTTTTCTGTTCACACTTGCAAAAACCCGCACTTCATATTCACTCCATGTCAGGATAATTATAGTTAACAAACTAAAACAATTTAAAACAAAAACGTTATACTTGAAATAAAATAAACTTTAATTGAAATCAAATATAAAAAGTTTTATTTCAGCTAATTGCCAAGGCAGCATTTCACATTTTCATTAAGTTTAACCTGACATACTAAAATAAAACAAAATGTGTATATATATAGATATATATATATATATAATAAAATAACACTTTATGTGTTCAGTGACGCATTACTTTTATTTTAATGTCTTTTTAATTAATGCAAATCTCTAGAAGCATGATGTATTAAATGAAAAATAAATGGACAATGCTTACGTCAACAGTAATATGCTTTAAGCATAAATTAGCCCAAGTATAAGTCCAAGTATATATTATTATTTTTTTGTTTACATTATTTTTTTAGATAACATTCTAAATAAATTAACCAAAACAAAAATATCACATAATAATTTTCATTAAAAAATATGAATATTGTAAACCTTGCTCTACAGTTCTGTGCAAACAAAGGCTTTAATGGCATCCCCAGTATGTTTTTAACTTTCCTAGCATTAGACTCAATTTAGAGGATATAATACAGCTAAGATGGCGACTGATGCATTTGACTGGGATAATATTTCATATGAGATAGATGTTGGTATTGGTAATCAACCCAACACTTTTTTCTAAATATATCATTTCAATTGGCTAGACTAAATATTTGGACTTCTGATCGCTGTCTTTCTGGTAACCTGCTTAAATGTACTTACTGTGAATTTTTGCAAAAATGCAATGTCATGGTGTTACCTGTTAACCTGGGTGTTGATGCACTCCGCATAAAACATCTCACATTAAACATCATTACATTTGTTATGGAAGCCCGTTTCCGCCACTGAATAAAAAAATAAAAAAAAGGTTATTGCGACTTTTTTATCTCACATTTCTGACTTTTTTTCTCAGAATTGCGTGATATAAACTCACAATTGCGATTTATAAAGTCACAATTGAGAGATAAAAACTCGGAATTCTGACTGTGAGAAAAAGTCAGAATTGCAAGTTTATATCTTGCAATTCTGCTTTTATAAGACGCAATTGCGAGATAAAAAGTTGCAGTTACATTTTTTTTTTTTTTTTATTCAGTGGCGGAAACGGGCTTCCATACATTTGTAGACTGCGGTAAGCACGGTATTTCTGTGGTGTGGTATTGTGAATCTCGTTTGTCTCCCTCTGCTGGTCAGAGTAGCTCATTATCCCGTAGTGATGGATTTGTGTGGCAGCCGATCCACGGCAGTTTCTCTGCCCACCGTCCAGTCGCAGTGATCCGCACCTTTCCAGGATCAAACCTCCAGTGCTGCTGCTCTTTGAAGAAATACAGCTTTCCGTCCGGTCGAGTCAAGGCCCCGTTGAGTCTGCGTGGAAGCCCCTTCCAGTCCCGCAGGGCACGAGGATAGTACGGCTCCACGCTGAGAGACTCCGGGTTCAGGACGTAGTATCGGGATCCTCTGAAGAGCACCATGCGTCCCAGCGGCTGGTAGAAGAAGGCACAGTCAGGGTGAATCGGCAAACCCAGATCACTGCTCTTCATGGGGAATCCAGGGTCCAGATCAGAGCCCGAGTAACGCCAGATCCGCCGTCCTGACAGGAGAAAGCAGCATGGAGATGAGTGGAGTACATGCAGCTTAACCCTCTGCTGTTTGGTCATTTTCACATTTCACTTTTCTTTTTTTTTTACTTTATCGGAATCATACAAAACTTGCTTTGTGAACAACAACAAAAAAATCCTGGCCATGATTCACAAAGGTTAAATGGTCTTGAAAAAAAACAAGTCAAAATGACTGCACTGGAAACGAATGGTTAGCCGTTTTAGAGTAAAACATGTTTTGGAAAATATATATTTCATATAACATTTAAAATTAGTATTTGTGTGCATTTTTCATAATAATAAACTTCTATAACTTTTTTGGGCTTTACTTTATTAACTTTTTTTTTTCAATCCAGCATAACTAGCCAAGAGATAGACATAAGTCTGTGCTCCAAGGCATTAAAGATCTATGACAGTTTAAGTTGGAAATGTCATTTTCAGGTCTATGCACAAAAAGTGCTAAAAATGGATCATAACTATTCCATAAATATAATTTAGTACCCTAAAATCCCCCCCAAATACAAAATATTGAATAAAAACATTATCAAACTATTTGTTTGTTTTTGATTGGTTTACCTAAAAACTATGAAATTCTGTCATCCTTCACTCACACTCAGGTTTTAATAATGAATTAATTAATAAATAGCATATTACACAACTGTTGCAAGTATGTTCAACTTTACCCAAATACATGCTGTGCACTCAGGCATTTGTTACATACTATACAGCAAATTCAACTAGATTTTTTATATCATTGCAAAATGTAAATTATATTATCGCCCTGCGATATATTAAAAGTTGGATTTAGAGTACATCCAACTTTACTGGCACATATACAGTACACTCACAATATATACTTTATAGCAAATCTCAGCTGTGTGATTTTTTTATATCATCACGAGATGTAAACTATATTGTTGCACAGCTCTATGTATGTCCAAACTTTATGCACACACACACACACTACACTCACACAGGGCAAGTATAAGACCATTTTACAAACCCATTTGGCCAATTCACTGAAAAGAAAGAACTGATAAAAAATCACTGGTTCGGTCGACAGAAATACGGCACAGATAATTGCTGTAGTATTTGCAGGGAAAGCATTTCTACACACAGTGAAGTGCAGCCTCCACGTCATTTTCTCCTTATATGTCATTGATGCTGAGTGTGCTTTCAGCTGGATGTAAACAGTTTTTGGGAATATTACTTAAAGCAGAGAGGAAGATTTTCCGTGAACAAAATTTGGACCTGTTCCGCGCACAAAAGTGTATGGATTACTTTTATGGTACTTGTTCAAATCCATTTTGAAGCTTAACAGCAGCTGGGGCTCATGGGTCTGTCTCTACATTAACAACATGATTAAAAATCTAAGAGAGATGATGAAAATGCCTGATTTGACTGTTTACCCTCATCTCATCAGCTCTTCATATATAAAGCTGATGTATCTCATCCACAATGACCACTTCTTTAAATTCTAAAAACTCTTGGTAACACTTCATTTTAGGCTCTCTTAACTAGTTGCTTATTAGCATGCATATTACTAAAATATTAGCCATTTATTAGTAGTAATTAAGCACATATTAATGCCTTATTCTACATGACCTTATTCTACATCCCTAATCCTACCCAATACCTAAACTACCTAACTAATTATTAATAAGCAGCAAATTATGAATTTATTGAGGGAAAAGTTGTAATTAATAGTGAATAAGTGTTCCCTATTCTAAAGAGTTACCAAACTCTTATACATTACACACATTTACTGAAATTACAAATTTTAAACAATATATCAAAGTGGATTTTTACATTTTCTGATATGTTCTATCACAGAAAGTCACACTCGTGTTCACTGTTTCATGCTGGTGGAATGATCTTCCCAAACCATACCCAGACATCAGAATCCCTGATTATACACAAGAAACAGAGAAAAACTGTATCCTATGGAAGCCCGTTTCTGCCATGGAATAAATCAATTAAAAGGGTAAAGTTAATTGCAACTTTTCATCTCACAATTCAGACTTTTTTCTCTGAATTGTGTGTTTAAATCTTGCAAATAGTTTTTTTCTCTCTCTCACTCTCTCTCTCTGCCACAGAATAAAATTATGGAAGCCCGTTTCCAACTCTGAATAAAAAATATAAAAGGTAAGTGACTTTTTGCTCAGAATTGAGTGGTATAAAAATATATTTTATTTAGATATAAACTTGCATTTATAAGAAAATGGCAGCTGAGAGCAGACTTTTTTTTCACCTCAGAATTGGATTTATTAGTAATTGCGAGTTTATATCCCACAGATCTGACAAAAATGTCAGAACTGCGTAATACAAACAAAACAAAGTCTAAAAGGCTGCGTTTACACTGCAAGTCTTAATGCACAGATCCGATCTTTTGACCAGATCCGATTTTTTGGCACGTCTGTTTACATTCACTTTAGACACGACTGGTATCCGATATCTGTTTTTACATTCATTCCCACCCAAAAGGATTGTCTGCAGTGATCGCTTTACTATGCACATGGTAGACCCTCGGGTTTTAAATGGCCGTGCTTTTAAAATTATTTATATAATTCAAGCATTGCAAACAAGCTTGTTGGTTTAATTACAAAAACTGCTAAGTTCTCACCTCATTGCTGAGAAATATATGTAGCTTTTATTTCCATCTCAATAAAATGCGAGCGCATACAGCACGCCGGCATTAAAAATCTTTATGAGCAAACGTGTCGCCCTCGCATTGGGAGTTCTGTGGAGAATCGTATATGTGTGTTTAGACGTAGGTCGGATGTCCAGATGTCAGATGTGTATCCGATTAAAATCCACATTTGGAAGTGGCTCAGATCGGATGCAAAAAAATCGGATCTCGTGCGGGTTTTTGTGTTTACACGTGTGCAACAAATTCCGATCTGTGTCAGATGTGAGCGAAAGATCGGATTTTTTGTGCCAGTGTAAACACAGTCTAACTTGCAATTGCAAAATGTAAACCAGCAATTCCGAAAAAAAAAAAAATTTCAGAATTGTGAGCTACAAAGTCACAATTATCTTTTCATTTCTTTTTTTAATTCCAGGGCAGAAACAAGCTTCCATATAAAATAGAAAAGGAGGTCATTTCAACTTTATCTCACAATGCTGACTTTTTTCTCGCAATTGCCAATTTTATCTCACTATTCAGACTTACCATCTCAGCATGCTTGCATGTTTATATCTCAACGAGTACTGAGATTGTATCTCGCAATTCTAAAACAATGTCAGGATTGTGAGATATAAACTCAGAATTGCAAGAAAAAAGTCTGAAATGGGAAACAGCTGTGAGATAAAAGATTACTTTTTTATTTGTAATCCCATGGAGGAAACAAGTTTTCATTGCATCCTGCTGAGGTTAACTGGATTTTTTTTGGTATTCTTCTAGACAATGTTTGTACTCTGTATTTTAAGCACTTCTTGCATTATTGCCTCATTAGGATGCATTGCTTTGTTGTATCCCTTATCTGTAAGCCACTTTGAATAAAAGCACCTATATAAAAGTTATCACCAGCATTATTAACTGGAGAGATTCTCTTAGACACGAATTCACAAGCAAAACATGTTCACAATAAAAACATCAATATACGAATGATGAAAATGAATATAATAATGAAACTTGTTTACATACCTATTTACTTTTGTAAGGCTGGTTCCTGGTCTTATTGTGAACAATCCATCAGTGCATGTTATATCATAGAAAATATTTTTCCTTAATAATCAACTAAAATGTAAAACTTGCTCTTCTTTCCTCTTTACATTTCTCCTGACATAACTTGGCAAACTCACATTCATACATGTCCACTTTTCACAATGCACAAAATCAAGTCCAGCCTTATATTTTTTTTCTGGTTGAATATCCTTTTTTCACTTGGAAATTCTAATAAATTTAAAAGTCACTTTGAATTTAAAACTGAATACATTATCATGTTGCATTGGACAGGGACACTTGGAAAATCCTCAAAAGCAGGATTTTGTAATATACCATAACACTTGCATTACCTGTGTTTAGAAAACTAAAGTCCAGCCTACCTTTAAAGAAGTAGAGTTTGCTGTCGAGTGGAGAGAAGGCAGCCGCTTCAATAGCCAATGACAGCTTTGGCCAGCGTGTGTGAAGAGGAAGAGGAGCGCTCACTCTGCCATTAAACACCGTCCAGAAACGATGGCCCTGAAACACCAGCACTGTCCCATCCTCATCTGCAGAAAAAACACCGCTTCACACAGCTCCAGGAAAACTGATCTCAGTGAGTAACAGAAGAATAATGGCATGTCTTCTTGTTCTTACCCATGGTGACGGCATCAAAGAAGCCCTGGCAGTACTGGGGTGTGCGGGAACCTCCTTTAGGGTCTGGAGAAGTCTGCCAGTCCCACATGGCCCATCTCAGAGCCCTTCCCGTCAACTGCTGCACTGAATCCCCCGCTGGTTTCCCTGCACACAAGTATATGACACTGGTGCACAAACATCCACTGATGTCCATTCATACGCATATGAATGTGGGAGACCGGAAACGCAAACTCTCAACTTGTGCTGCATTTTAAAGTTTGGTGAACTCTGACCTGTGAACTCGTATCGCATGAAGACGTGTGGCCAATAGAAGATCTGTGTGGCCTCTCAATTTAAACATTTTTTCTATGTTTTTTCTTTAACCCCTTAAGTGCCACCGGCCTACAGGTGGGCCCAATGGCACTCTTTTTTTTTTTTTTTTTTCTTTTTTCTCTATCACATATTTTAGTAATCATCATAAATTATATATCATTTGAAAGCTTAACACCTCAGAATTCATTTTTAAATCGGACATTGCTTTACCATGGAAATGGTACATTAAAATCTTTTAGCGGACTCCTCCCCTTAGTGGGTGGAGTCAAGTGTCATATTACAAAATGTATTACGGTCTTTTAGAATCAAACGTTTTTAGAATCTTGACAAAATACATATATTTGGAAAGATCTGAGTCTCAAGATTCCATATTTGGTGGTTATTTTTTGATAGAAGTATTATTGACAGAGAAATTTAGACAAAATTCCACAGAGTTTGGATGGCACCCGGTGGCTGTTTGTGGTATAACGCCCTAAATAAAATAACACAGGAACCTCTTTTTTTTTTTTATATCAACTTCAAATTTGGAACATAACTTATTTAGACATAAGGCTTTAATTTTATATCAATTTTGGATTCAAAAATATTTTTTTCAATATTTACTTTATATCAAATAAAATTAAAAATGGGTTTTTTAAAAATGGGTTACTTTACAGTAAATTTATTAAGTAAATTAAAGTTCTATAACTTTTTGATACTTTAATCTTTTTAAATGATTCCACTTCTGCAGTAATCTGCAGATTGTCTTCTTAAAAAGGAGTCCAACCTTAGGTCTGTATTCCAGAGTTTTCATGAATTATAATAATTTAAGTTTGGATAGTGCACTTTCACGTCTATGTTCAAAAATGGGGAGTGGCACTTAAGGGGTTAAAAAAGACGCCACAGAGTGTGATGTTGTCACAGTTCTGTTTCTTTGTGTTGTGCTCCATTGCCTTTGTTGACTTAGTTTCTCAGTCTGTTTGATAATTATTATATTCACGTGTCCTCATTAATTACTTAATTAATGATTTTTAAATTAAAATGAACAAATTCAGTACTATTATGATGTATATTTAACAATTTAAATAATATAATTGTTTGTTCCCTTAACAGTAGAGACTGGCATTGATCGCATTACAGTAATCTGAGTAGGGATGGAAATGTGCTTTTAATGAAAATATTGTTGCAATACAAACAATCCTAAAACAGTCTTTAAATATGATCCTAAAATTAAATCTATATGTTGTAGAGACTATGCAAATACATTTAAGCATTTAAGTGTCATTTTTCTGTGAAGGTGTTTGTGTGTGAGAGCTTGAATAAAATAGTAGAGAGTAGATATAAACTGAGATTAGAAGAATACTAAGCTAATTTATATTCATTGCTGTTCTCAGGTAAGCACACAGGTGAGATATAGAGGTATTTTACACCATCTATTTTCTGAAATAATCTGCCAATGCATAAAGTCATAGTTAATGATGGTATGCTAATAGCGAGAATTGGATCTTAAAATAAAGTGTGACCCTAAAAGCCTGCAATATTACAAATAACAAAACGCTTTTCAGAAGTTCAGACAATAAAAGAGATGCTTGTTTACCGTACAGCTGTTGTACAGCAGTGATATCATGCCAGCTGAGCAGCGCATTCGAGCCCATCTTCTTATAGTACGGTGACATTAGAGCGTGACGGACAGGCGAATGCACCAATCCCAGAGTGTGGCCAATTTCATGGGCCGTCACCAGGAACAGGTTGTGTCCTTTGAGACCATTCAGGGTCCAGCGTTCAGACAAGTCAAAATGAGCTTCACCGCGGAAAGGGAAAAATGCATGAGCCAGAGCACCACCTAAAGAACAGAAAGAAAGAAATTAAGAATAAATAGCTATGTCACGCAGCTTTCATGTCCCTTTCTGTATCCTAGATGAAAGACTGCATATAACTATGGAAAAAGAGACTTGGTACATGAGTCTATCAAACAGGGAAGAATCAGGTGGTGGCTTCTTAATTTCTTTAAAAGCCCTGAATATTTTGGGTTTCTTCATAGTGTTACCAAAAATATCCATTTTTGATACATACCTAAACTGAAATATTTGAAATGACTCAGTACTACTTTCCCACAGTATCGATAAAGTGATACCAGCATCTCTCTTCTTTCTGACAGCGAGTTCACACACACACAGCAGTCCAACAAAGTGCCCCCCTCATCCGCCTCATCTCATTCACACACTCAGAGTCACGCCTCCTTTCATTCCCACAATCAGAGCCACGCCTCCTTTCATTCACACAATCAGAGCCACGCCCCCTTTCATTCACACAATCAGAGCCACGCCTCCTTTCATTCACACACTCGGAGCCACGCCCCCTTTCATTCACACACTCAGAGCCACGCCCCCTTTCATTCACACACTCAGAGCCACGCCTCCTTTCATTCACACAATCAGAGCCATGCCTCCTTTCATTCACACAATCAGAGCCACGCCTCCTCTCATTCACGCAGTCACGCCCCCTCATTCTCACTCAGAGCCACGCCCCCTCTCATTTACACTCAGAGCCACGCCCTCTCTTATTCACACACTCAGAGCCACGCCCCCTCATTCACACACTCAGAGCCACATCTCATCTCATTCAAGCACTCAGAGCAACGCCTCCCTAATTCACACTCATAGCCACGCCCCCTCATTCACACACTCAGAGCCACGCCCCCCTCATTCACCCACTCAGAGCCACGCCCCTCTCATTCACACACTCAGAGCCACGCCCATCTCATTAACACACACAGAGCCACGCCCCCCTCATGCGCTAATGATGACACAGCTGTTTCACGATTGGCCAAATTCACCACACGACAACAATGACGTGTGTTTCTAGCATCTTCAATTCCAATACTGCTCACAAATCTGTGTTTTTAGAACAGTTAACGCTTTTTTACTGTAGTCGCAATGTTATATTGAGTCTCGTTTATCAAAAAAACACTTATAAAAGCATATATACCCCCACTTTATTGGTATTTAAATAGTATATGTTTATGTTGAACTTTATTCTTGAACAGATGGCACTGTATCAAGCAGTATATAAAAAGTGTTTCTGTTGCTCATGAAAACATTTCTGAAACGTCTGTGTATTTGACAAATATTGCATTCACTTGTAATATGTTATTCACTTCATCTGTGATAGAGTATGCAAACGCCGTGAGAGCGTCACTACCGGGAGCAGAAAGTGTCCGACTTGATGTCTCTGCGCAGCACTGCATGAAGTCGAACACATCTAAGCACTCCGAGCCACGCCCCCTCTCGTTCACACACTCAGAGCCACACCCTCTCATTCACACACTCAGAGCCACACCCCCTCATTCACACAATCAGAGCCACGCCTCCTTTCATTCACACAATCAGAGCTACGCCTCCTCTCATTCACACACCCAGAGCCACACCCCCTCATTCACACTCAGAGCCACGCCCCCTTTATTCACACACCCAGAGCTACACCCCCTTTATTCACACACCCAGAGCCACGCCTCCTCTCATTCACACACCCAGAGCCCCACCCCCTCATTCACACTTTAAATGGGGAGTCATCTCAATTATCACCAGTAAAATATGGAGTGCCACAAGGATCTGTCCTAGGTCCTCTGCAAAATGAGTGTTTACTATTGTCATTTTGCATTATTGACACACTATTTTCCTAATTAATGCTGTTCAGTTGCTTTGACACAATCTGTATTGTTAAAAGCGCTATATAAATAAAGGTGACTTGACTTGACTTGACACACTCAGAGCCACGCCCCCTTTATTCACACACTCAGAGCCACACCCTCTCATTATGTGCTGTTGCTGCCTCGCGATTACTGAAAATCACATCAGTTGATGCAAAACTAACTTGACTAAATCACACACACACACACACACACACACACACACAATTTATATTTTCATGTTTTCTCAAGCAAAGCAAATTTTGAAAGTTCACTGAAAACATTTCTTCCTACATTTGTCTTGGCATAGACAAAGTATGTTGAAGGTTCATGTTATTTGGCAACATGCTTCAGCAAACTAATCAAAGTGAACATGTATATAATGGCTGTTCCTGGCAAAACTTTTAAAATCGACACCTGTCATAGTGTTTCTTATTTGTTGTCTCTGAACAAAATAATAAATTATTTAGATTCTAACCTGTCTTACTGTTATGTGTCCAAAGTGACATTTTTTTCCAGATATATTTGACATAGTTTTGAACCAGATCCTATATTAGTTCAATTTGGGACTTACACTGGTACAATAACAGTTTGTTTCAGGATAAAAAAAAAAAAAACTTTTGCTTTGGAAGAAAAATTGTATCCCATCTCTTAAAATGTGGCTTACACACTTGACTGGTAAATTATATTTAGAAATAATTAGATATACCTTAAAGGGAAAAAAAAGTTTTGAAAAATGTGAAAAAATCTGGTCCTCTTTTATTTCTTTTCTTCAAACTGGTAATCAACATGTTTTTAATTTTCTGCTTTTACCTTTGGATAGCACTTTTGGGCTGAGTTTTTTGTCTGGAAATTGGGTGTTTTTTTGTCTGGTTTGTAGTCAATTTTTTCTCTCTTTTTTAACCTTTCTGTTCAGTTATTATTACTTCTAAATCTTGGTTTCATGCATTTTTGTTATAAAGTAAGTTCCCTTTCATGGGAACTTCGAACTGCGTCCTCTAGGGGTCGCTATGGGGAACGCCTCGTCGTGCCCCGTGTCTGAAGCATACATTGAAAAAACACCAACTCGTTGGCCGGCGACAGCCATGACGTCACTACCGGTGCGACTATAGTATAAATAGGCGCCGGGAATGGTTACATAAGTAACCTGAGACGTTTTATGTGTTTGCATTTTTTTTGTGTAGTTACAAATGACCATTTTCTGCAAAAAACAAAAAAAACAAACAAAAAAAAAACACTTTAACATACATAAATTAATAAATTAAATAGCATACCCGGTTAAAGAAGTCACCGCCTGCCACTGTAATACACAGCATGGCACAAATGCCATCCATAGACATTAGGTTTAAAAAATATCATGGAATATTCCTTTTAAGACTAGAATATTGATGGTCACTTCATTTATTAATTTATTTATTTAAGAAAGAAAGAAAAAAAGAAAGCATCACCTGGCCCGTCAAATGCATTTCCTGTCCCATCTTTATGTTCTCCTTCAAAGAAGGCCAGCCGGATGTTGGCAGGACCCTGCTGGAGCTCCTGGAAGATCAGTCCGGACACGTTACTCCACAGCTGGAATGCCATCTTCACTGCCATATGCACTTGACTGGGAGAGAGATTACGCGGCCAGTTCATGATACGATACGTCAGGTGACGTTTGTGCCACTTCTCTCCTGTGGAAGTACGGACCAGTCTCAAAACCGATGTTTAATCGTGACATTTCATCTTAACGTTAGCATTTGTGAGATTTATTCCATCTGGTGTTCAACTGACGCTTTATTTCATTTAGATTTGTATGATAACAAACTAGTTTCATTTTGAAGTAAAAAAGTAAGTTGAAAGTAAAGTGCAAAAGACCCCAGAACAATGCTGTTGCTAGTGTGTTTATAATTTAAGTTAATAACTACTGTAATTATTTTATTTAATTACATTTAAAACATCTTCATAGTCAAGTCACCTTTTTATAGTGCTTTATGCAATACAGATTTTATTCAAGGCAGCTTTGCAGTAAAGGACAGTAACATAATCAATGATGCAAACTTCAATTATGAGGCAAATCCAAATTCTGCTGAAAAGTAGCTCTTAAAATTCATTATTCAGTTCAAGTCAGTTCAGTGTTGATTCAGTTCAGATCAATAACAGTGTTGATGCAAAATTCATGAGTTCTCAGTTTTGTTTTCATCTGACAGCATCAGTTGTCACATCAATGATATTACTGAATATTAAGGGTATTTTAGATCCAAATTTAGACTTAATTAACACCTAATTTTGTATTACTGTATACATTAATGACACCTTTAAAAAAAACAATTAAAATTATATCCAATGTATTTTACATATTCTGCAAAAATCAACTGATTGCATCCAAAACATTCTAAACTGACAAGAGCTCAGCTCAGTACGTAATTAGCTTAACATGAGAGGTTTTGTGAATTGCACACATAATTACAGACTTCCAAGACACTAAGGGCCAGTTTTACTAAACAGGGCAAATTAGCGCGAGAGCGCAATTCCAAAACAGCGCCGATGGGCGTGGAAATTTCTGCGGGTGATTTACTAATAATGCGGAAAAATTAAAGAACAGATGCAACATCTCATTTACATATCAACCAATGCAATATACCAAGCGCAGTGCAAATTAGCGTAGTCGCAAATAGAGAATAAAGAAATAAAGAAGCCACAGTACGTTGAAAAATGAAGGGTTGCTAGAAGTTTTGATAGACCTGCGTGACTCCTAGTTGAGGGTTCAAAGTCGTCTTTTATTTCCTGAAGCAAATTAAAAATAACATGGCTTGGCAAATGATGTGTTCGGATAATGTGTTCTTCTGGCATTCAAAATAAATTAATACGTGTAGAAAAAATCCTCTCCCTTCTACCACGCGCTCTCGGTGCCTCCTCCTAGCAACAATAACTGCAGCCATTTCAAGTGCAAAATAGTTTAAGACATGCTTTTTTTGGGCGTTAAATAATGGCACAAATGCCAGTAATTTGACGAGCGCAAACGTCAGTAAAACGCGTTGCGTGATTCATCTGAATACTCTGAATAATTCGTCACTGCACGTCTTTAGTAAGACCTGACAGTACAATTATATCGCCAAAATACGGTTCGCGCTGGCGCAAGCTGTTAGTAAAACTGGCCCTAATAACACTGCTGTCAGAAGGTAACGCGTGTGGTTTTTCTCCGTTATACCATAATTCCTAATAAAGCAATAAGCCCCAAGATGCCGTGGTTTACAGTGAATTTAACAGCTAAGGGGCGTTGTTAGGCACAACGCGATTATAAATTCACTGTAAACCACGGCTTCACGCGGGGCTTATTGCTTTTATAAAACGGTTATTCCATATATGTAACAAGGTTTCACAAAATCAAAAAGCAAAAAGAATTTAATGATATTAATAAAAACATTATTCTTCCGCCAAACAATGTAGTTCCTCAGAAACAGTTGTGGTTGCAACAATGTGGTTGCCGAGCAACACAGACGCAGAAACAAAGAAGTTTGTGGAGTAATTTACAACAGCTTTGAACACGGCGCAACCAATCAGAATCAAGGACCGGAACTATCCATTTTATAATAAAGCATTCTTCCACCAAACAATGTAGTTCCTCAGAAATGGTTGTGGTTGCAACAAAGTGGTTGCCGAGCAACACACAAACATAAACAAAGGTGTATGTTTGTAGAGTAATTTACAACAGCTTCGAACGCGGCTCAACCAATCAGAATCAAGGACCGGAACTCTCCATTTTATAATTAATATTTTAGTGCGTAGAATAACCAAAATAATATAAAAAAAACAGCAGTTTGTTGTTGTTTTTTAAAGTGTTTTCTTGTTCATTTATTTGTTTTTCCTTGAAATCACTTGGTGAACCTTTTGTAAGGCAAAAATCCTGCCCTATAAAGTGTGAGGTTAATGTTTCGTCTTTGTAAGTTAGAATGAATGGGCTCAAAATTTTCCAAAATGCAGACAAAGCCAATTATCTAAATGATTATCCAGGCTCAACCAATCAGAATCAAAGACCGGAACTCTCCATTTTATAATTCATATTTTAGTGCGTAGAATAACCAAAATAATATAAAAAAAACAGCAGTTTGTTGTTGTTTTTTAAAGTGTTTTCTTGTTCATTTATTTGTTTTTCCTTGAAATCACTTGGTGAACCTTTTGTAAGGCAAAAATCCTGCCCTATAAAGTGTGAGGTTAATGTTTCGTCTTTGTAAGTTAGAATGAATGGGCTCAAAATTTTCCAAAATGCAGACAAAGCCAATTATCTAAATGATTATCCACAAGACTGATTCAGTGTTAACAGTGTCTCTAATGCAATAGAGATAAAACAAGTTTTGCTTTGTACAGTGACTGAAAGCAAATCTTTGATTTAACTGATGTGTGAAATGATTGTTTTCACTAATAAGTCTATACTATGCTGAACAAAATTATAAACGCAACACTTTTGTTTTTGCCCCCATTTGTCATGAGCTGAACTCAAAGATCTAAGACTTTTTGTGAAAATCTTGATAACATTATAAGGGGACCTCAGAGAACAGTACAAAATAATAAAAACCTTCATGGCAGTTCAATGACACACGTGAGAAGGTGATGTGTGGACTAAATGAGATTGCCGAGTTTTAGGGTGTTCCCAACAGTTCTAGATATGATTCTTATAAACATAAGTTCAAATGCATGAAATGTGTTCACCTGTCTGAGGAGAACGCTTCTTCCGGAGCTGTCGGCCTGTGAAGTCCCTGCTGACCCTTTGACCCCAGGCGTCCTGAACCCCGCAGCGGGGCGAGCTCATCTTCTCCAGAGTGACCCTGTCCAGTCCTCCAGTGACGGGCAGCTGAGACAACCTCTGAAACTCTCTGAAACACAACAGAGCTCCATCACAAACCCATTCCTCTGGACTAGTGCTGGCATCATTCAACTGTAGCGTTTTTGATAGCTGGTATGATATTATCATATTTTTCACAGGTTTACCTGATGGCAGACTTGACTTCAGCTGTGCTGTGAGATTCATTCTCCTTGTGCAGGTATCCATATCGCTCCAGAAAACCCTGCGCATGCACACATACGTCATTACTCCCTCTGACAGCAGCCTCAATCTACAGCGGAGACATGCTGATAAATCAGAGCACAGTAAACAAAGCATCTTTGGAAATGAAGTATTTGTAACACAGACACAACAACAGTCAATACCCACATGAGCACTGATTGAGGTAGTCAGAAGCATTTGTTGTTTCCTGCATGAAACAGGAAGATCTGTAGGAAGATGTGGGCCTTTGTGCCTCTTTAGAAGATGGCCTTAACTGTGTTGTGAAATCCCTATAGACGGGAATACAGAATGACCATCCAGACAGGAAAAAGAAGCTGTTTCAGTGTCATTTGAGGATGTCTAGTATTATATCGGTCTGCAATGCCTCATTTCAAACAATGGTTTGCAGAGAAACTAAAGGAAATGCTTTGCTTTTTTTTCCATAGGAAAGCATCAGTTTTGGAGATCTGTGCATGAGAGGATATGTCTCTTTCAGGTTCTGGCGTGTAAACTGCATATTTGCCTGTAGTGTTGGTGTAGTGTAGATCTGAACTAGAGGTCACAGGTACAGAGTATGTTGACAGATCTGAAGCGAGGCAATACATAACAACTTTATAGAGGAACCCAGATTTCAACAAGGGCACATAATCATTGTTTATACTTTGAACAAGTCTGCCAGAGTATAATCAGGAGAAGAAACTTGTAAACTAAAAATCACAATGAAACCACCAATTATTATCAGTGGCTGTTTTTATTTACTGTTTGATTGTGCAGCTGTCATGTAACTGTGTCTCAGTTCTGGAGACAGAAGCATGTAATGACAGTGCTCTCCCAATGGAAATGCTTCTTTGGGTTCATTGCATAGTTTATGGCTGTGCGCATTATTCTGACCACAAATCACCAGGCTCATTTTCCATAGCTGAAAGGCAGAGCAAGACAATACATGTCTCCAAAATGTTTGCATGCATTTGTATAACTAAAAGCATGACTTTTCTGAAAAGCATGAATTTACTGGAATCCCAAATGAGGCATGTAGACGCTTTCAAGAATATCAGGAAACGGAGATAGGCTATATCCCAACAGGGAACGTTAACAACTTTCACTAACGTTTTTTAAATGTTATATAAATGTTAGGAGAAAACGTTCTTATGGAACGTTCTTATAATAGACTGTATAATAACATGGACGTAGTGTCCGTGACGTCACCCGTAGATTTCTGAAGAGCGTTTTTGAAGCTCAAAGTGGGCGGAGCAGGCCGTTGCCATCTTGGCAGCGCGTGACCGCGCGTCACGCCCGGATAATCGAAAATGGGCAAAGAGGCGGGAGCAGGTTGGTGAAGCCACGCCCACCTAGCTCGACAGTGGTGACAGCAGCGGCAATCCACCTGTCACTCAAGTGGCCACGCCCTTAATTATGCAGAACTTTAAGGCTTAATATAATTTAAAGGATGAGTTATAAAAAAAATTCACCCCCCTCACAGTTGTCATGAAGGGCAAAATTAGCTATATTGACCAAAATCATTTTTTGAACCAGGCTGTAAACGTTTTTTTTTTGCTGAAAATTTGTGCATTTTAACATGGGGAGTCTATGGGACTGACTCTCTTTTGCAGCCAGCCTCTAGCGGCCAGTTGACGAATTACAGTTTACGTCACTTCCGTGTTGGCTTCAGGAGAGAGAGCGGGAGGTTGCCGCTTGGTTCTTATGCTATTCTTATATCCTATATTAATATTTAAAAGCCGTTGTCATAGCGTTGAGAGAAAAAGTTGTTAGAGCAAACATTTTTACTTGATAAACGTTCTTAAACATTTAAATAACTTTATAATCACAACAACAAAAATGTATATTTTAACGTTTGAATTTTATATGAAACGGTCAAAGAACGTTATATTTCGGGTGACAAGTTAGAACAACGTTGTAAGAAACATTTTTGTAATCTTTGGTTTAAGTAATGGTTTAATAACGACAAAACTTGACATTTTAACGTTTTCAGAATAATGAAAATTAATGTTCAAACACGGTTTTTTTTGGGGGGGGG